GGCCTCAGCAGTCCAGCTGTGTATGCTGTCTATCTTCTTTCTGATCATATCTATACAGCTCACAGTCAGGGCACAAATAGGTGAGCACAGATCATGATTTAAGGAAAATAAAAAAGGACCAAGAAACTACAAGTTACACTATAATGTCCCCTAACACCACCAGTTACTAAACAATATGAGCTGCTTATTTAGAAACTGGTGGTGTTAGTGGACAGTATAGCGTAACTTGTAGTTCCTTGGTCCTTTCTCTTTTGTATAAACACCACCAGTCCTTTTTTATTTTCTACAAATTAATCCTTGGCTCTCCATCTAGTCCATTCTTGCACAGATCATAAGCATTGCTTGTCCTATTTAACTAGACTAGTAATAAAGAGAACAGATTCTGCCATCATTGCCGCACAACAACGAGTCAATTTTAAAGACACTTATCGTAAGCATCAAGAATGTCTAATCTAGTTGTCTGTTTGTGTTAGTGTGTACGTGTGTGCATGCCCACGTGTGTGTGTGTGGGGGGGGGGGGGGGGGGGTTGTGTGAGTGTTACATGCATATTACATGTGTACTTTAATTGTTTTTCATGATTTGGTAACCCCAATTTATTTCTTGTTTGCTCTACACCTGTGTCAAAATACAGTCGAGTTTTCCCCTGTGCTTGGCGGAGGCGGTGGAACATTCACGTATGCGGAAGGTATTGCGTGGAGCAGTTTTCGTGTGGCAAGGTGCGACGTCAACTCAAAGAATAGCCAAGCGAGCGAAGGAGACTACGTCCGATGGCGACGCGATGGCGTGGAGTTCTGCAGAGCGCCGCTGCTGAGGACTCGAAACCTGCTACTGTACAAGCCAAGCGGCGGTGTACTCACACCCAGTGACTCCGGCACATACACGTGCGAAGTGGAGTATCTTCGGCCACCGCCATTCTCCTCTTGGACGCGGAAATATGCCAAGGAAGTGCTGCAGCTAAGAGTGCAAGGTGGGGGGTCACTTTGGTGTTTGCGATTTCCATTTTGTTTAATTTTGTTGGGGTCACTTTGGTGTTTGCGATTTCCATTTTGTTTAAATATTGTTATTATGTTATTGTTCCCATGGTTACCAGCAATGCATGCAGCTGCATTAATGGGCACTCAAGTCATGCAAACAGCCAAACGTGGTCACACAAGCCACATCGAATAGATACGAAATCCAAAACAGGTATAGAAGAAAGAAGAAATGTGCGAAAAGAAGACAAAACTAGGGTACCGATACCACGCGGGCACAGATGTCCACCCAGCCGCTTCGGTCTGCAGCAAGGGCACGGAATGCCTGCAGATCCTTTTTTCTTGACAAGGAAAATCCAATCCACTTTGCATCATCACGTTCATGTAGTTAAGCGTATGTCTTGGTCGTCCCCTCCAGTACGCTGAACGAGGCTCTACGAAGTACGCTCCCATGGCCAGTGATGGTGGGGAGTCAGCCAGGAGCTGGCGGACGTGCCCAAAAGAGCCTCCAACTACCTCTCAAGAGGATCTCACCCAGAGGAACCGCACCGGTATGCTCATAGAGCCTATTGTTCCTGATGCGATTCGGGAACACAATGCCGATTAGCGCCCGCAGCTGTTTTCAGTGGAAGGCTTCAATACGGCTCCGCTGCTGTTTCGTTGGTGCTCATGTTGCACAATAGGATGTATCAAGAGTACATAACCCCCCAGAGTGTGCAACGCCTGATCCAGCTCTGCATAGGGTCTTGGTCGAGCGGAATCGGATCTTCTGATGTCATGCGTACACTCCACACCAGCGCAAGGCCGGTCTCGAGGCAGGGCACCAGTATCCGAGAGTACCCGCGACTCCCCGGGTTCCCCTCAGCTGTGTACGGTATTATGACGCAAAGATCCGATTCCGCTTGACGAAGACCCTATGCAGAGCTGGATCAGGCGTTGCACACTCTGGGGGGTTATGTACTCTTGGTAGTATGCATCCATTTCCCGTCGTTAGGTTTTGCAGGGCAAGTCCACTACAACCGTACACATCTTGATACCAACTCTGCATAAAAGGTAATGAACTTTGCGAGGTCATACTCATAAATGTACTATAACGGGTTGTACCTGCCAAGTATGGGGTAACTTGCCCTGCAAAAAGGTGACGACCATCTTAGATACATACCTCCCAATCTAGCAGAGTACAGGGAGTACAAAGGCTTTGTAAAGCCGGATGCGGAGATCCTCCGAAACTAGCAACCTACCAATCCAGAGCGTCCAGAGTTTACCAAAGGCAACAGTTGCCAGTTACTGTCGCCGTAGCATATCCTCGGCATCACCTAATTTGACCCGAGTTTCTTGCTGGTTCGCCACTCCTCCTCGATGCGATCAATGTGCCGTTTGATGTGCGCGTGCTCTGTTGAGGGGATGTAGGGACGACGTGCCGATGTGCTAGGAGCAACTTAACCGTTCAGAGGTCTCGGTGTCAGCATTGCAGCTAGGCTTTGAAATCGCGGGTGCGGGTGGGGGTGAGGGATGTTGCACGAGAAGACTGCAAAACAAACAGAAGCTAGAGAATACCAGCTGTTCCGTCAAGAGTAGCACGGCCTCCTTTCTTGAAAGAATACGACTGCAAAACCGATCTTGTTCAACAGTATCTACTACTGTATAACGTGGTGTTAGCGACCTCTGCTTTTAGCGACCACCTGCTCTTAACGGCCGTTTTTCCATGCACCGACAGTTCTACATACACACACTCTGGGACCTGGTTCTAAAGACCACCCGGCTTTAACGACCGCATTTGCTTGCACCGTGGGGTGGTCGCTTAAACCGGGTTTTCCTTTACTATCTATCCATCACTAGACATTAAACATGGATTTCAACGATAATTTCGTGAATGCCTTTGTTGTGCTTCGTTTTTAGAGGCTCCGCGGATATTGAACGTAACCAAGGCTCAGACGAAGACGTCTCTCACGTTGACGTGCTACGTGCAGGGCGAGAATGTTTCCATAACCTGGAGAACACCAAGAGGCTTCAACGTCACGCCACTATTGTCCGGCGTCACGACATTGCAGGGCCGTTTCCCGCAGCCGTCCGGCTACACGGCGGGAACGTACACATGTACTGTCTCCAGCGCTGCTATGTGTAACATACTGTCTGACCGGAGCGACACACAGCTGTGCTTCCCGTCGTCAATCACTCGGAGCGTGACCGTCCCGGCCTACGGTATGTGTTGTGGTGTGGCCAGCATGTTGGAGCGATTATTTTTCTATTGACTTTTATTTCATTTCATCATTCAATGGCAGAAGCCAGTGCAAAGGAGGGGGCGTTAGCCAGCCATGGCAAGAGAAGGAAAAAGAAAAAAGAAAGAACATAATTATCGGACGAAAATAACGCATCAATGGGATGAAATTTATCACTATGTTGACTATGGTGAATAGTGGCGAGACAAGCTAGCAAAAGAGGCGAGAGAGCCTACGACTTGACATGACATTTTACGACATGTCACTCATTGTGCATGGGGATGGGTGCCGTATTTTCCGGAGCATAAGCCGTGGTTTAAACACTCCCAATCCACCCTAAAAAAAGTCGGTGAGGCTTATACTTTGCTGGTTAAATGAACCGTGATATATCACAGCTGTTCGTGCACGGACATTTAACAATATGGCGTCGTTTAGTGCGATTTACGTAACGCGGTACAAACCTCATGAATACGATGGGAGTTTGCGTTTTGGGATGAAACTCATGTCACTCTCCGTGTGGTTCCACGATTTCGCAAGTCAAACCAGGATTTATTGTTTGAAAGCGCTCGAGCGAGATACTCAATATCCAGACAATTTGAGAGAGAAGGAAGGTAAAAGGAACTCCTGCCATAGTCAACCAGCATCCTGACCTTTTCGAACCTCTCCAAGCTATCCCTGGTAGTCTGGATATTGACACACGCACTGATTTTCAGCTTCTCCTCGTCGGGATCACGGGTGCAACTTTCAAATCTGCCGATATGCACTCGAACAAACGCACAATTGGATCTACATCACAATTTCGGGGCTATCTGTGTGCTTGCTGCCTTTCTCAGCAATACCCCACATGTCTACTGGGCAGTTTCCACCAGGCCTCGGCCTCGGCCTCCTGGAATCAACAGCGACTCCAGCGCCATGCCACCTGTCCCCTAAATCGCATGAAAAGGTAGCTCAGCATCGCACGCACGGGACCTGAAGTTTGTGCATGGGACGAGATAAAACTTGGTGAAGATAGCCAGAAGATAGCCCTCTACCTGGGAAAACTGAAAGCTAGACTGGGAAAACTTCTGAAAGGGCTTCTTGAGGCAGGCATGTCAACGATGAATCAAGCAACGAGCAAGAAAGAAGGCTTGACTTGTGCAACGCGGAACAAACTGTTCCTGCGAGGAAGTAGGGCATGAGAGGTACCAGCGGAAAGCTAGTTTCAAGAGGAACAAGGAATACCTGTTTTCCGGGTATTCCGGGTAAACCTGGCCTGGCAGCTTTCTAAATCGAGCGAAAACCACAGCGAAATCGGCTGCTGAGAATTTTAAAAGTCAATTTTCTTGCCAATCCAGCCCAATCGAGACCAATCGAGACTTTTGGCTGCCATCTTGTTAAATGTCAAAATTTCGCAAAAAAAGCAGCCGTGATATGTAGGGTAGATGGCTGTGTTTTGTGGCAAAAAAATCTATAGATTCAGTTTATAATGCAGTGTGGCTTATAAGTGTGGCTCATACCCCGGTAAACCTTATCCACATTGACATGTAAGAAATCCCGTAGAATCCTGTAGACCCGGTTGGGTATTGAATGTACAGGGCCCTATTGTGTTGTCTGTTTTTTCACTACGAAACGTAGTGTAGCTCAATACCGAATAATTGGCCCGGGGATCAGTCAGTTTCTTGTGTATAGCACCTCTCTCTCTCTCACTCTAGATGTACGCAGCAAGAGATGACCATGTACATTGTATTGAAAAGAAAAAGGACCAAGGAACTACAAGTTACGTTATAATATCCACTAACACCACCAGTTACTAAACAATCAGCTCATGCGATGACATTGCACAACACTGGTGTTAGTGGTGACCCTGGTGACCATGGTGACACTGGTGACCCTGGTGACCATGGTGACACTGGTGACCCTGGTGACCATGGTGACACTGGTGACCATGGTGACACTGGTGACCCTGGTGACACTGGTGTTAGTGGTGACCCTGGGGACACTGGTGTTATGGACACTATAGTGTTCTGTATAAGTGCAAAGTTTCGCTTGGAATTAACTTTCGCTACATTCGTTACGGGCATGAAATAACTAAAGTTTTTTTTCTGTTCTGAATGTTCGGGGTGACAAACCTGGACCAACAACGAAACTTAGTATGTAACAAGCCTGCTGGTGGAGTGATCTAACAAAAGATTAAGTGAACGGAAATTTGTACTTACACAGTAACTTGTAGTTCTTTGGTCCTTTTTCTTTTCTATACATTTATCCTTGGCTCTCCATCCGAGTCCATTCGTACTCTGTATTGGTAAGAGATTTTCACTATTCTCATGTTCTGTCTTCAGCTGCTCCCAAAGTGGAATTATCCTCGCCATCCTGGGTAAAGGTACCAGTGGGCAAGAACGTCCAGTTGAACGTGACGCTGCTAAACTCACCCTACCCACCTCCCACTATCTTCTGGTCTCACCATAGGATGCGGATGACCACAAGCAAGGGAAGATTACGCTTGTCCGGTGACCTCTTGCGGTTGGAAATCCTCAATGTGACCGTTACGGATTCCGGCCAATACACGGTATCCGTGAGCAACTCTAAGGGCCGTCAGACGTTAGTCTTCTACCTTGCTGTTATAGGTCAGTATAGTGGTGGATGTCATGGTTACAGTCATGGCTATCGTCATGGTTACAGTCATGGCTACCGTCATGGCTATTGTCATGGTTATTGTTATGATTATCTTTATGGCTATCTCTCTCATACACCCACGCACATACACACACACACCTCAGACCTCAGACCTGCCCATCGCGGAAGCGATGATAGCGAACAGGTATGTTAGACATAGCAACTTGTGCTGGGATTACATCATTGAACAGCTTGCAAGGCTGATGAATTGATCGCCACTAATTTTTAGCCTAGTATCCACCACATAGCTGATTGAAGTGGCTTTTCTGGCCAGTGAATGCCTTTTTTCATTATTTATTTATTTTTCATTTATTTTTTACACACACACGCCACACTACATACTCCGGCATACACTGGCTGTTGGTAACCACCCAGGAGAATGAAAGAAGAGCTAGGAGAATGAGAAAGAGAAAAAAGACGTGTGCGGCCATAATCGTCGGGAACTGAACCCGCAACCTCTCGATTGGAAATCGACTGCACATACCACTGCACCATATGCACACACACACGCACACATACACACACATACACACACACACACACACACACACACTCTCTCTCTCTCTCTCACCTTCCCTATTCTCTACGTTTCCTTTGCAGAACGTCCTGTTGTAGTGAAGCACTCCAGTCTAAACAACACAAGACTGCTCGGCCAGAGTATTACATTCAGCATAGGACTGAAAAGTGCAGCACATTCAACCCCAGTTTTCAGTGTATTGCACAACGGACTCTTGATCTTAATCATTCAACCTGGTCCGCATCTCCTCTCAAATAGTGTGTCCTTTCCTCTAACCCAAGTGAAGCGCACCGATAGAGGATCGTACACACTTGTTTTGAGCAATACAGAAGGGTCGGCACACGTCACGTTTTTCCTGGATGTTTACGGTACGTTTCGAAATTGGTATGGTTGGCTTATTGACTCTAGATGTGTGTGTGTCTGTGTGTGTCTGTGTGTGTCTGTTTTTTTATTTTATTTTTACTAGAGCCACGTAAACCCGTCATGTGTGAGCCATGAATAAGGGGAGTGGTGGCGTGGTCTGGGATGCTCTGCCGACCTTGGGTCTCGGCTTCATCACAACCAGGCGCGCCAATGTGTGTCTGTGTGTGTGTCTGTGTATGTACATGTGTGTGTGTGTGTGTGTCTGTGTGTGTGTGTATGTGTGCGCGCGCACATGTGTACGTGTATTAGATAAACCTTAGACACGCGTAGACACGCGCTTTTAGTTAAACAGCATACTACTAGAGCTCAGTGGATAGAGCACAGGAAACGTGTGTCAGGAAATGTGTGTTCGAAGCATATTGCAAGGTGGTGGAACACCGTGTTTGGAAACAGCATCCCTTACTACAACCATCCACGGTTGGTAGAGCCCCGGTCTCACAGCCACCTGAACCATATGAGCGTTAGGCCCGGTTTTCACCCTCCTTATTCTAGGGGAGTTAGTAGGGGGAGTTAGTAGGGGGAGTTAGTAGGGGGAGTTATTCAAGTCTTCATGTTGTTGTAACGTCGTGTTTGTTTTTGAATTGATCTTCTTCCTTTTGTTTTCTGTTGTATTTCCTTTCTTTTTGTCAACTTCTGCACATGGCGTCCCTCTCTCAGCTCGTCAGCTGACAATAGTTACTGTCATCACCATGCCAGTGTCACGAGAAGGTGTCTCTCTGTAGACGAGGTTGGTGGTGGCCGCGTCGGAGCATCACCAACCTCGTCTACAGAGAGCGGGGTGCGGCGTATACTCCAGAATATACAATATTCTTTTTCCCTTGTATTTCTATTCCGTTCCAGTGCCCCCGGTTGTGGACACAGCCTCCGCCCTGAACACCACACGAGTGCTTGGTGAAAATGCCACGTTTCACGTCACCCTGAAACACACACCCTATCCCCTGGCCGATATCGTTTGGACGCACAATGAATCTCCAGTCAACACAAGCTCAGACAGGATGCAATTGTCCAGCGATGGCGTATCACTAAGATTGACCAGCTTGACGCCCTCGGACGCGGGAGTTTACACCGTTTTGGTGAAGAACAGCTTAGGATCTGACAACGTGACGTTCACAATGGATGTTCAGGGTAAGTGCTGATTTGCGTGTCAACCTGTGTTCATAACGGTTCCACGCGCATGAAATGGCGAATGGGCACTTTGCTTTTTGCTATAGTTACCTTACACTCTTCCCAGATCACTTGCCCGTCCATCAAGTGCGGTTGTCTTCCTCCCGTGTATGCGAGAGACTTCAGCCAATAGCGATCACACACTTCTACAAAATGAATGTTGCGGGTGGAAGTCTAAGTCAAAGGGGAGATTTCAGCGTGGTCACTTCTGAAACAAATGCAGATCTGACAATCAGACTCCCAGAAGAGAATGAAAAGATTCGCGGTTCGTGCGAGACTCGGCTGGAGACTGAATTTTCCGCATCCGCATCTGCTGGGATGATCAATGCGCAGATGCAGCTCCTAAAGCAGTGGTAGGTGAGTAGATCAGACCCGCCACCAAAGTGGTCAAAGACCGAAAATCCCATTCGCTGCTTCCATGCTTCCCTCGTGCCAGGCCACGAGTTACCAATTAACTGTGGGTCGCAACACGGCTGGAAAAATCCCTCCGCTTCCAAGCAGGACTTGAACTCTCTGTCTCTCAATCATGTTTTTAGACCATCCCACTATGCCTGCCTGCTTCCTAGAGAGGTTCAACAAATCAGCCTTGTGGATGTAGGTCAAAAAGAATTGTCTTAGGGGCCGTCCGTAAATGAGCCCCAGCCAGCAGAAACCTGAACATGTGTAATTTTTCAAAAATTATTTTTTCGCTCGAAATTGATTCTACACTCATTCAAGTTATCAAGTTTGGTGACAATCTGATCTGCGAAAGCATGAAAAATAGAGTTTGAAGTCACACAGGTCAAGATTCGGTACAGTTGGCGCAGCATCCATGCCCAGTGACTCCATGCAAGTTGATCCTACAGTTTCTGATTGTGATGTGGAACAGGTACATGTAAGTAAATAGAATGCAAGTCAGGCTTGCCCTCTTGGTGCTGCAGGCATGAGTAGTTTAGAAGTGTGACGATATTCCGTATAGACCACTACCTTCTTTACAACACCAGAGTGCAAAACGATGATTGGTGGCTGGCCTTCCAAATTGTGTTCAGGGACCTCTGTGCGGGCAGTTTGAGTGTTGTCCCAAAGCTTGCCATACTGATAGATGTACTGACCAATACCACTGACATCCACTCCTTTGCACACTTTCACTCTGATCATGATTTCAGCATAATTGTATTTCAATGATATGAGTGAATACTCGCGTTTTGTAGCACGTGAAGATGTTGCCCCAAAGCGTTCAGCCGGTTTGACTTTTTAGGAATCCCCTTTCTCAGCACAGGCAGCAGCCAGCTTGGCGTCGTCTGGCAAGGTAGAGTACTGATAATACTACGCTCTGTTTTGCGACGTGAGAAGCCCTCCATCAGTATCTGCAACATCATTGTTGTCGATGTAGAAAAACGGATCGCTCAGCGGGTCGACATTTAGCCTCTCCTCGCAGTCGCTATTACTCCAGCACTGACTATCGTCGCCACCAGTATCCAGTGTGGATTTTATGAGGGCTCTTCGTTGCTATGCATATGAGACTCGCCACTGCTGGACAAACTCAGCGAGATCGTCACCAAAGAAATAATTCCGATCGCGAACTAACTTTCAGCGCCGCTTCGTACAGGGAGTCTGACGCTGACAACTCTGGACCTAAGTCCTTGTCGCGACACCTGTCGCCATCGCTGTGTCTAAACTCAACCTCCGTTTGAGGAGGTCTCACCTAGCGCTGAAATCAATTGACCAGAGACATTTGAAGACACTTGAAACTCCTTTGACAACAAAGACACCCACTCGATCGAAAAAGAATCTTCAAAAGCCAGCTCACTGCGCGTCCCAAACTTGGACGTCACATTTTGATGATTGATATCAAGTACACAAGTGCTGGTTTTCGCTGGCCGGGGCTCAAATATCGAACTTTTTTCACCAAACGAATTATTTTAGTTTAGACCCAACCCCTCCCTCCCTCCCCCTCAGAACGTAAAAAAATGTTGAGATATACATGCGTATACAACAAAAGTCGCAAGTGTGTCACTGCTCCTACGGCCATGTATATGTATCGAAGTTTTCTGAAACGAAATTGGTCAACCCCCTCCCACCCCATCACGAAATTTTTTCGTTTCGTGAAAAAAGTTCGATAATCGTGGACTTCAAAACGCTAGAATTAGTCGGAGTCATGCAGTTATTAATTTTTTTACATCGGGTAAGTCGAGAAGAAGTAGCAACGACCCGGCCAGTATGGAATCCAATACACCACATCACGGGTGTGGTGTATTGGAACCGGTAAGTCCACAAAACATTTCGGCCCATTCATATTTCAGCCTCCCAGGGCTAAAATCCATTTCGGCCGCATTAAATTTTCAGCCTGTACTGCTGCCACCTGTATACACTGTCACACTGAACCTTGCAAAACCAAATTTCGGCCGCAAAAAATTTCCGGCCAAGGATGACCAGGCCAAAAATAGTCGAAAATAAATAAGCGCCGAAAATGTTTTGACCTACAGTACCATACCATCCATACAGACACGAGCACACATACACAAAAATCACAGCCTCCTTTTCTTTTTGCATTTTCTTTTCTCCGCAGTTCCTCCAATTGTGGACACATTCTCAACTCTGAACAGTACTAAGCTGATCGCCGGAAACGTTTCGTTTACCGTTACCCTGAAGTACGCACCCAAACCTCTGCCAACCACCACATGGCTGCACAACGGACTGCCGGTCGACACTAGTGGGAGCCGGGCAACGTTGTCTAGCAATAGTTTGGCAATGAGCTTGACAAATCTAGCGGTCTCCGACAGAGGAATGTACACAGTCTTGATCAGGAACAGCATAGGATCTGAAAAAGTGATCTTCCTTGTGGATGTCCAGGGTAAGTTTTGAAATTATTCTACTTCTCATGTCAGCTTGTCATCCATGTGGGGGGGGGGGGGGGGGGTGCACTATTCAGGCTGTATTTTTTCACTGGCCCTTGCAAACTGGGCACTATTCAAGAGAGGGCTCTAATCGAGCGAGTACGATAACCTGAAAGAGTGCTCAACAAAGCCGAGACGAGGTGGTTTAATAATCAATCTGTGGACAGCTAGTTTTTGGACCTTGAATTGATTATTACATAATGCTTGAAACGTTTGTTATGCTTTCTTCTCCCTCCAGTTCCTCCAGCGGTGGCCACATTCTCAACCCTGAACACTACCAAACTAAGGGATGAAAACATCACGTTTCACGTCACCCTGAAACACACACCATATCCACTGGCTACTATCGTATGGATGCACAATGGATTTCCGATGAACACAAGCTCAGACAGGATGCAATTGTCCAGCAATGGCTTGCGCTTGAGTCTCACAATTTTGATGCCCTCGGACAGGGGAGTTTATACCATCTTGATAAAGAACGCTGCAGGATCTGATAGTGTGGCATTCACCATGGACGTTCAGGGTAAATTCTGTTGATGTCTGTCTGTCTCTTCATTCGCTCGTCTTTCAGTCTGTTCACTTGTCTGGTTTGCTGTCTGTATACTTGCATGCCAGTATGGTGTCTGTCTGTCTGTGTGTTTGCCTATCTCTCTCCCTGTATCTCTGACAGTCTCTCTGGATGTTTTTTTCTGTTTGTTTGTTTGTCTGTCTGTCTGTATGTCGGCCTGCCTGCCTGTCTGTCTGTCTGTCTGTCTGTCTGTCTGTCTGTCTGTCTGTCTGTCTGTCTGTCTGTCTGTCTGTCTGTCTGTCTGTCTCTGTGTCTCTCTGTCTGTCTGTCTGTCTGTCTGTCTGTCTCTCTGTATGTCTGTCTGTCTGTCTGTCTGTCTTTCTCTCTCTCTCTCACACACTCTCTCTCTCTCTCTCTCTCTCTCTTCCCTCCACAGCTCTACCAGTATTTGAGACACCAGTCAGTTATGTGGATGAAGGTAAAGATGTCACCGTGCACTGCAGAGTTAGTAGTATTCCAGCTGTTGATGATCTCTACTGGATTGAACGAGATACAGGACGACGATTAGCCCCTTTGCATGCTGCCGATGCAACGAGCCTCATATCAGTAGTGACCGCTCCCGTCACCACTTTAGCTGGAGGGCTGTTGCGGCGTTCAGCTTCGCTGAGATTGCGCAATGTGAGCATCAGTGAGCATGACAGATATATCTGCATGGTTAGCTATCGTACACCAGCACGACAGCAGAGTGCTCCACTCTTGTTCAATACAACCCAGCCTATCGTAGTCAACGGTAAGTTAAGATAAAGTTGTGGGTAGAAATCACAAAGAAACTTGTACACAGTGTTCATTGTGAGAAATAAGGAATTCAGGTGGACACGTCCATTCCCTTCAGACTTGCATTGTGAGAGGTAAAGGAATGTTTTGCAAGGACACAGAGAAACCATCGGCTGAAAGGCGCGAGCTCCAACAGGGGCGTTGGACACGCTACGGTCACGTCGGTATTAACCGTACCACTACTTTCCCCAGGTACCATGTGAATTAATAAAATGCACCCATTCGGACTCTAATTTCAATAAAAAAAAACAGCAGAGACCCCCTCAAGTATTCCTCAGATGGCCGACCGTACCACCCTGAAGTATCTTTCGGCGTCCCTGTCCAGTATGGGGAGCAACCACCCTTTCCTAGCTGCAGAAATTCAATCCTTAGTCTCAGCTATATTTGGCACCAGTCTGTTTTTTTCTTGCACTGTGGCTGCTTGGCCCAGGCCCCACTGGATGTTGTGCTTGTGAACAGGCCAGGCGCGTAGCAACCGGACCAATTTTTTTTAACACAATGCCAAAAGTGCCCAGATTGCAGGATTTTGCACCCTAATTTCAAAATTTCCCCACGAGTTCCTCTCCGTTATTTGGGAAGTTATTTGAATACGTTGAATAAAATTAAAATTAACTCTACAAAATGATGCCCTTAGTAGTTACGGTGTGTGCATTTGTGTTTGATTGTTCCACCTACCCGCAGTGCCACCGGTGTTTTACCTCACACCCGCCAAGCTGACGGTCAGCTACGGTTCGAACACAACCATGTCATGCTCCGTGTCCAGTTTTCCAGCTCCCATATCCCTGGCTTGGAGCCACCGTCACCATGACGACCACCGAAGTCAGACGGCCATACCGGAATTGATCGTACGGCGTGCACCGACTGACTCTTCGATGCTGCACAGCTGGACAGTCAGCTTCCAGCTGACGCCCGTCGACGAAAGCGACGGCGGGTATTATCAATGCGTAGCAACGTACGCACGCGAGCCACGTTGGAACACGACCATCACGGTATCCGTAAACAGCGTGTTCGTTGACTTCAGCACCGATGCGGGCAATGAACCGCCACTGCCGCCTAGCACCGCCGCGAGCAGCGCTCCGTGGATCGCCAGCGGTGTGATCACTGGGTGTGTCTTGGTTGCCATGGCTACCTACATGTTTGTAGAGCTGTCGAAAAGGAAGCGTGACCGATCGCTCTCCGTTGCACTAACAGGTAAAGAATACCAGTATTGTGTAAACACATAATTATGTGTGTAAAATAGCAATGAATAAAACTAATTGTGCACAGTCACCACACCACAGATGTACAGTCTGATACATAGTCAACACATCACAGATGTACAGTCTGATACATGGTCACCACATCACAGATGTACAGTCTGGTACATGGTCATCACACCACAGATGTACAGTCTGATACATGGTCACCACACTACAGATTATAGCAATAAAAACTGCTTCATGGCAGTTTTCTAAAAAAAGTTATTGTGTTCTAGTCCATGGACCCCGTCTAAAAAGTAAGAAATTAACAAAATGTGATAGCCGAAAGTGAAAATTTCACACAAAACCTCACAATAATCACAACACTTGAAATGCTGCTTTCAACACTAAACTTGTACTGCACCAACAATTGGCAACATGCATGTCATGCATGCATAGGAAAGAGGATCACGAGGGGAAAAGGTCTTCTACATGTAGCTTTTCATTCTGTGTGTGTGATTATTGTGAGGTTTTGTGTGAAATTTTAACTTTCGGCTATCACATTTTGTTAATTTCTTACTTTTTAGACGGGGTCCATGGACTAGAACACAATAACTTTTTTTAGAAAACTGCCATGAAGCAGTTTTTATTGCTATAATTTCTTTCTTTTTTTTCTGTCACCAATCAATGGAATGTCCTATATCAATAAGTAAATGATGGCCTTCACATCATATCAACACCGTATTATACGCATTGATGTGCAAGCCTTTTCTTGCAGAAAATGGCACTAGCATGTTCTTCTGCGGGGAAACATGTGAGTAGTGGTGGACCGTGGTGATCCTTTTTTTATTTTATACGGAGGTCATTCTGTGCATGTTGCTGTTGCAGAATTTCATGACTGTCATAAATTTGTCTTGCCTTTCAGATATTTAGATTTCCCCACCCTCGATCAGATTTATTTGAGAAAATTTAATGTAGCCATGCGCCAGGTGCGTGTCGCAGATGTTTTTGTTGATTCTGTGTTTATAATGGTTTATAATCATGGGTTATCGTGATAAGGTCATCCTGCATCATATTGCACTGAAATGGTAATCCTGTTGATGTCGATACAACTTTTGGAAGTAGTTCAATGACTGTTAGTCCACGATTTTCTAAAACAACACAGCAAAGGAGGAACAATAAACATGTATTAAAATGTAAACAAATACATTGCTGAGTCCGACACCTCGTTCCAACAACTACACTGATCCTGAGGATAAATGGGGCAAGGCTATGGTTGGAGGTACTGAGAGATAAAAAAAGGCACTCCATAATAATAAAATCTTGCACATCTTTTGGTGAGTATGAATGATATTCAGTCGAACCTCTTTAGGACGAACACCAAGGGACCGATGGTATTTATTGTGTGAGTTTGTCTTAACCTATTTTATAACCAGTGAATACAATTATTTCTCCAATAGACATACGAATAGATTTCTTCTACAGCGAAAGATTCTAAGCCACACCAACTCATTGACTCGTCTCGTATGAAAGAAACGAGTCACTAGAGCTATAGAGAGGTTCTGTAAAACGAAAATGCGTACAAACTTTCGTTCTACGTCATGAAGTGCGAAACTTCGCACGAACTTTCGCAACTTTGGACGCGAAACTAGCAGGGAACGCGAAATGAACTGTCGTACACACTTTCGTGAGATCGGGTCATGGCGTACGTGCGCTTGGCCCGCGCAAACTACGAAAATGTGCAGAACGCAAAGCTCGTGCAAAAATTCGTACACACTTTCGCAAGGACTGTCGCGAAACTTCGTTCGAATTTTCGTTTTGCAGAACCTCTCTACTGAACCTTTCTTTAGCAACATGACGGCAACTGAAACAGCAACAGAGAATGTACGATACATGTACAGCACATTCTTGCAGGTACTACAAACAGATTGCAGATCGTAATTCTTGCTTTGGCGGCACGAAACTTTATTTGGGGCACTGCAATCTCGGCGGTACTCACAAATAATAAATCAAACAGCCCAGACTAGAGTAAACAAATCCAATCATACAAGTGCGAGATCTTCACGAGACTGCACCCATTGGCTTGTTTCGTATGAAGCAAACAAGTTTACTGAACCTCTCCACAATGATTTTCCCGGATATGCGAATTTATTTTGCAAACTCGGTCAATGGATTCTTGAACCTTTCCCTCCAGATTGGGAACTGCCAACGATAGTATGCCACTGACCAGTGCCTTACTTTTAACGTACCATTGTACAATGAATATGAGTATTTCGACAACACACCTAACATAAGCCTTACCGTCAAGAAGGTGAACTCGCGTTCTTCGCACACTGTAGACAAGGGCAAAGAGATAAAAATGGATCTAAATCCGAATAAAATCAGCACACGTTTCCGTAAATGAAAGGGTGAGCATAAGCAAATGAATCGAAGGAAACCGGTCAACTCAGAGATCATCTGTCATCGAGTATTCCGTAAAAGGAGGCCTCGGCAGCGGAAAAGCTAAATTAATTATTTAGAAAAGAGATCCTGTCAGCTTTTCCATTATTTATTGCATTCCGCCCAAAATCAGCACACTTTTCGTAAATGAAAGAGTCAACACAAGCAAATGAATCAAAGGGAACTGGTCAACTTACCTGTCATTGAGTAATATTCTGCGAAAGGTCTCAGCAGCGCCGAAACGAAATAAGCCAGGCCAGGAGACGAAATATCCGAAACAGCTCATACAAGAAGCAGTTCCAAAGGAGAAAGTTCCTCGCGCATGCACATCCAAACACGGACATGCGCTGCAACACAATGTCTGCCGTGCACGTGCACAGCACGCGGCTACCACTCGTTGGTAGATCTAATACCGAGCACCTTACGTAGAGACTTACGTAGCCTAAGTGAAATACCGAGCACCTTACGTAGAAACTTACGTAGCATAGCGGTGTCGTTTTTCTTGCCATGTGAACACAATAATAGAAAAGCTGACAGGATCGCTTTTCTAAATGTACAGTCTGATACATGGTCACCAC